CTTACTCTGATAAAATCAAAGAACTAAAAAACCAAACTAATCTAATGCCTGAGGAGATTGAAAAATGGAGAGAATGAATTAAAACATTTCGCCAAGTGCTGGCTGGGGAGAATGATAAAAATAGTTCTGAATATAAAGAGGGTAGAAAGTTCATTGAGGATTTAGAAGCAGAGTTTATCAAGAAAACTGGTAAGGGCAATAATGATGATAATAGAGAGAGAGAGAGAGAGAGAGAGAGAGACGAAAAGATTGAGAAATTACGGAGAAAGATTGCCAAGTTAGAGGCTATTGTTAATCGCACTCCTCAACAGGAACAAGATTTAAAGGATAAAAAGCAGGAATTAGCAGAGTTAGAGGGTCAACAGCAAAGCGGAGGAGGCGGAGACCCGGGAGACCCCAAAAAAACTAACCGAACTCCTTGGATAATTGGTGGAGGAATTATTTTGGTAGTGATAATAGGGATAGTTGCTTACTTCTGAGGAAAAAGCGGAAAAGAAAAAGGTAATAAATAATGGAATACTACGGAAAAATAGTCAGCGGAGAACTAGACCTTAACCTTAAATCTTTCAAGTATACTTTACTTACTGATAACAAGGAGGAAGTAATTTTTTATAATAATCGCTCTTTGGTTAATTTTCTCGATGCTCGCTGTAAGGTAAATATTGAGAAAAGTCCTAATGGCGAATATAATCTCGGAAAAAGTATTATTGATTTAGAAAGAAAAATAAAAAGGGATCAATTACTAACTCCGATTGAGGAACAAGTTAGACAAGGTATTGGAAAGTTGAGTTATAATCTTTCTAACATTCCAAATGAACTTATTCAGCAACAGATAATCAATTTAGAGCAAAGAGGGTATAACAGAAAGGAAATTGCAGATTTCTACCACCGGGACGAACGAACTATCTATCGCAGAATTAACTCAACTAACAGCCAAGAAAAACAAAAAAGAGGAAGACCACGAAAAATTAAAGAAGATGTTTCAGAGGTTTTATGTTCTTATATAGAGAAAGATGATAACGACGCAACCTTGGAAGAATTGTCAGATTACTTATTCCAAAAAATAGGTCAAAGGTTTAGTGTTCCAACTATTTTTCGGGTGTTAAAGAAAAAAAGGATTTCTTGGAAAAAGGCCGATAAACAATTCTCGGAGCAAGATGAGGAAAAGATTAAGCAATTTGTCAAGGATAATTGCCAATTACTTTCTTTATCCTCTCTTTATTCTTTGGATGAGTGTAGTTTTAATTTAGGTGCTGTGCCTCATCATGCTCGAGCTCATAAAAGTAAGCGAGCAGTAGTTAAGCGATCAGGTAAAAAAGGTTCTAATTATACTTTAATTCTTTCCGTTCAAAACCTAGAAAAAGGAGGAATTGGCTATGAATTGATTAAAGGAGGAGCCAAAGCCTGAGATTTTTATAACTTCCTAAAAAATATAAAGACTTCTGATGGAGAGAAGCGTTATATTTTACTAGATAATGTTCGAATCCATCATGCCGTGAAGGCATTAAAGGATTTAGGTTTGTCAAGCATTAAAGAGTTAGCAAAGCAAAAGAACATTGTGCTTGTTTATTTGCCTCCTTATACTCCTGAATTAAATCCTACTGAAAATTGTAATAGTGTTATAAAAAACTATTATAGAAAGCATAAACCTCGAACTGAGGAAGAATTAAGGAAAGTTATTGAGGAGGGAATAGCGGAATTAAAGAAGCATGATTTAAGGAATTTTTTTAAAAGTGCTTTTGATTACGAAAACTGACATTAATTTTGAAAAATGCTATAAGATTTAACGAATTAAATTTTGGCAGATGAGACAACCAAAAAAATACTTTTGCTGCCAATAACGACTATTTGAGTTTCACTACTGAGGAAGAAATAGGAGAAATAAAATCCTTTGAAAATAGTGTTCCTCAGCAACCTAAACCCAAAAAGGAGAATAACAAATTTACTAGTAGTCTCAACGTGCTCAAAACTGTTTTACTAGTAGGTGGAATCATCGGAGGTTTAGTTTTAGTTATTTTCGTGTTTTTATATTTTTGGAAAAAAACATAATAAGTAAATATGCTTTACTCACTCGAGCAAAAAAGGAAAATTATACTTGACAATTACAGTTATCCCAGTAAGCAGGTAGAGTTAGCAGAATTAAAAAATAAAAGTGAGGAGTGGCAAGTCCCTTTTTCTACTTTTCGCAGTCTAGACGCCGGTTGCGGTGATATTATTCACCTGCTAATAAAAAAAAAAGATAATTGTTTAGAAAAATGTTTATTTTCCGGGCAACAATCTTGCCTTATTAC